TTCTGATTAATCCCTTAATTTGTCATTGTGAAAAAGGCTTATGAAAGAGAAATAAATTTGAAACTGATAAATTTAATAACTATGAATTTCAGATTTTTTCACGGCTCAGAACATAGATGATAAGTCTGAGTGCTGCTTTTTACCACTGATAGATCAAAATTATGTTTAGTTTTGCAGAATACAAGAGAGAAAAATTGTAATTTCTTTTCTGAATAAGAAATAGGTGTAATAATAATCAAAATAACATAAAGAGAACTGTAGCGATACAGTTAAAGGTCGTTAACTTTATATGAGGCATTTTTGTACTAACACATTTTGTTGTGATCAGATATAGTCTAATTCCATGCTAGTCTAGTTAAACAAGCTCATTGGAGATTAAACAGTTGAAAGAATTTTATCAAATTTTAGCAGCAAAAATTTCAATAAAAAATAAAAAAAAGAAAAAGTAGGCTTAGAATGTAAATTTCTGAGGCAATCTGAAATCCGCTGAGTGATAAAATTGTTGTGTACACTCTTTTCTTCACGTTTGTAAATAGCAAAAGGCATTCTATAAATCTTACTGATTCAGATCAAAGATGGGAAATATGCAAATGCAGTACAAGCCTTACAGTATGAATTACAAAGAATACCAAATGTAAGTATTTAAATAATTATTTAAGCTGTTTTTTTGTTGATTATTGTCTTATTAGTGAATGCTCATTAAAGGTGTGAAAGAAAAGAACAAAAATGATCTATCTAATATTATTCTACATATGTCTTACTTTTTGCGTAAAGAAAACTTATCATATTTGATGCCAAGAAATTGTGAGAAATTTATTAACTTAATTTTAAATTGCTAATTGTTGCGCAATCATTAAAATTTCTGTCACAATTGCAGAACGTTTTAGCGCTTTAGTTTACATGTATTACTAAATTCTAATATATTATTGAATTCTAATATGTTATTGAATTCTAATATGTTATTGAATTCTAATTTTTCCATCGCTGTTTTTTTACTAATATCCGAATAACATTCATTTATCATTTAATTTAAAGGGCGACTGTTTTACTGGCATTCAATAAATGACGAATTAGTATTAGTCTATGACTGCTATAATTCGTTGATTCCAAAAGCAAATAAAGATTTACAGAGTCAAGCTGCATTATCACTGCTTGGGCATTGTTATTTTTACTTGCAAGAATTTTTATCAGCTGCTGAATGCTACGAAAAACTGACCAAATTATATCAAAACTGCGCAGAATACAAACTTTATTGGGCTCAGTGCCTTTATAATGCATCGAAATTTTCAGAAGCTCTCACAATAGTCGCACAAGTTTGTATTTTCAATTTATATAATATTTATTTGCTTAATAAATCTAAATTCTTTACTGATACCATTAATAATTTCAAGTATCTTTCTAATTTCAATTTTTCATATAGTCGTGTTATTAAAAATAAACTATTGCAATCATGAAACGCTTAAAGACATTGCATACTTGAAGATTGATAACCCTGAATTAGCTGGGAAAGTTCTTAAGCTTGAATCTGCAATTAAATATCGTGAAGAAGATATTATAAGTGCTCGAATACTAGTGGAAAAGTATGCCATCGATGATTCTGATAGCGAAATCAATTTTGCATGTCTTGATTATAAGGTAAACGAGCATTGATAATTTATATTCTATATTTTTATATTTCACTTGTATAATTTTATTTGTATTTATTTTAGTCAAATAAACACAATTTCAGATGTAAAGCAAATATTTCAGTTGGCATTATTTTTTCAGGAAGGAAATTATGCAGCAGCATTAGAACGCTTCACAAACGCAACTCAAACTCACGGATACCAAGTCTTACTGTTTATAATTATTTCTACAAAGTTTTTTACATAATTAATTTTGTTTTCTTGCTAATAATTTAAAAACTTTGTATATAGTAATGAAAAACATTCAAAAGTCATTTTAGTTTAACATTTTGCTCAGATGAATTTTATTTACCTATTTCCAGCCAAGTTTAGCATATTCAATAGCTTTATGTCATTATCAAATGCATGATTATTCGCAGGCATTAAAATTTATCACTGATATAATTGATCGAGGGATAAAAGATCATCCTGGTGAGCTTTGCATCATCATTAATTATTTATATCATCGTTGTAGTATTTTTTTTAATTTTCAAATCAATAGCTTAATATATTAAGTATTGCTAATAACTGATAACTTTGATCAGAATTATCAATTGGTATGATCACAGAAGGTATGGAAGTGAGTTCCGTTGGAAATACACTTCTTCTTCATGAAACAGCTCTAGTTGAAGCATTCAATCTGAAAGCAGCAATTGAGTACAATTTGAAGAACTGCGAGTTTTTGAACTAATCTTCTTATAGTGATTATTTTGGCAATTATTTTTTTATTTTTGTTTTTGTTTAATAAAAAACAAAACTGTTTTCATTAAAATTTTGGGTTATCTAGTGCATTCCATTCAGATTCATTAGCGTCAGAAGCGCTGACAGATATGCCACCGAGACTGGAGGAAGAGCTTGATCCAATTACTTTACACAATCAAGCTTTAATTAATATGGATACCAATCCTGCTGATGGTAAATTTTAGTTTTTCAACCCTCTGAAAATTAAGTTTATTAATAAATTATTTCACGACTAGTAAGTATTTACTATTGTATTGAAAGTGAACTATTTCTAAGAATATATTATTAAAGATACTTGGCAGTATTTTGAATTTAATGCAATGATATTAAAAATATGCAAATCCGACTATAGTAATCTAGTGCAATTAGACTTTAAAGGATCAGTAATGATTTTTGATTGTAAATTCTTTAGAAAGTTTGACTATGATCAAAATGATATAATTATTTGAGACAAAACAAAGCTTAATTCCAAAATTTCTATTATGTGTCAACAATGAAGCTGACTAAGCACATCATAAAATTTTATATTGATAGCATCTTACGTGGGTCATTGGTAAAGGCAAGTATGATTTATAAGAAAAGGTATGAGTGATAAAAGGAGATAAAAGGTCATTTTGTGATTGCTTTCCAAGCAATATTCATTGTTAAAAGTTCATCTTTAGTTTTATATTTAAGGTTTGCAAAAAAACAATACCTTAGGCAACTTTTGCATCAAAAATAAGGATAAAATAATGTCTACGTCGTTACGAGGAAATCTAAATAAGTATGTGTATTCAAATATTGCAGCTGTGCGTTGTATTTAGAATTCCAGTATTTTAAATACTAACAATTGATGGTAATAAAAATTTTCGATTCAAAATTGTTAGCAATATTAGTCATATAAGTAATTTTTGCAGGTTTCGCAAAGCTACAATATTTATTGATGCAAAACCCATTTCCACCAGAAACATTTGCTAATTTACTTCTTCTGTACTGCAAGTTTGAAGTATATTTTGTGAAAAGCTTTTCAAAAAAGACAAGATTCTGCCAGGGAAAATTATTAAAAACACTGCGCATTTATTTCAAATCAACCTGAAATATTGTCTTGCTTTATACCGATTTCAGTTCACTTTCAATATTTCAGTATTACGATTTAGCAGCTGATGTTTTGGCTGAAAATGCTCACTTAACTTACAAATACCTTTCTCAGGTACAGACTGATTTGTTTTAAAAAGAATAATATTGCATTCACGTATTTTTTAATTTATTTAATAGTATTTATATGACTATTTTGACGCCATAATAACTCAACAAACAACGCCAATGGACGCTTATAATAAATTTGAAATAATTGCAAATGAACAAGTCAACGAATTGCGTAAAATAACCAAACAACTACAAGTACGTTTTTATCATTGCTAAACAACAATTAATCTGAACACAAATTTTGATTTACAATCTCATAAAAACGGTTGATAAATCATTGTTATTTATATTTTGCAAATATATGTATTGATATATTATGAGGTTAAAGTATTTAGGAATACCGTCAAGGCAATGATAAAATGGCTGTTAAGAGAGCTGTTGAAGCCTACGATAACACTATGGCTAAGTATGCATTTTTAATTAAAAAAATTGTTTATTGTCTGAAAATTTTTATCACTTTCACTGGCACGGTGATCAGATCAAACATACTGATATTATCAAAAGTGTCCTGAATTCAATCCAAACGCAACTTATTCAAATATCAGTTGATTGTATCGAAATTAATTCTACAAATGTAATGCAACTTTAATTATAATCATCTTATCTTTCGTGATCTGTCACTTCTACATCACGACTAACTTTCAGCAACCAAATGCTCGGAAATGACCAGTACTTGAGTGACAGTTTGCAAGAAATTAGCAAAATTCATTCTATAGAGTTTTCAGTGCACTAATATACAGTTTAAAAGTACTTACACAGTAAATATCAGATTTAAGATAAATTCACAACTTTGTAACTCTTTTTTTCTGAATTTTCTACTCCAATCCAAAACAGATATATGCCGGTATTGATGTCACAAGCAAAAATTTAT